AAAATTTCAAGTCTCTGAAGAAAGAATTAGAGGAAGATATGAGAAGATGGAAAGATCTCCCATGCTCATGGCTTGGCAGGATTAATATAGTAAAAATGGCCATCTTACCAAAAGCAATCTACAGATTTAATGCAATTCCCATCAAATTGCCAACACAATTCTTTACATACCTGGAAAGAAAAATTCTCAACTTCGTATGTAATAACAAGAAACCGAGAATTGCTAAAACAATCCTCTACAATAAAAGATCTTCTGGAGGTATCTCCATCCCTGATCTCAAGCTGTACTATAGAGCAACAGTTATAAAAACTGCATGGTACTGGCATAGAAACAGAATGGTGGATCAATGGAATCGAACAGAAGACCCAGAAATAAACCCACACACTTACGGACACCTGATTTTTGACAAAGATGCCAAAACCATACAATGGAAAAAAGATAGCATCTTCAACAAATGGTGCTGGTCCAATTAGATGTCTACATGTAGAAAAATGAAAATAGATCCATACTTATCACCGTGCACAAAACTGAAGTCCAAGTGGATCAAAGACCTCAACATAAAACCAGACACATTAAATCAGCTAGAAAAAAAAGTGGGGAATACCCTAGAACTCATTGGTACAGGAGAAAACAACCTGAACAGAACACCAACAGCACAGGCTCTAAGAGCAACACTCAATAAATGGGACCTCATGAAACTGAAAAGCTTCTGTAAAGCAAAGTACACCGTCATCAAAACAAAGCAACTGCCTACAGATTGGGAAAAAATCATCACCAACCCTTTATCTGACAGAGGACTCATATCCAGTATATATAAAGAACTAAACAAGCTGAAAAGCAGCAAACCAAGTAATCCACTCAAAAAATGGGGAAAAGAGCTAAAGAGAGAATTCTCTGTAGAGGAATATCGAATGGCAGAGAAGCACTTAAAGAAATGCTCAACCTCATTATCCATTAGGGAAATGCAAATCAAAACAACCCTGAGATTTCACCTTACACCCATGAGAATGGCCAAGATGAAAAACTCAAGGGACAACACATGCTGGAGAGGTTGTGGAGAAAGGGGAACCTTTCTCCATTGTTGGTGGGAGAAAGGTTCTTGTATATGTAAACTTGTATAACCACTCTGGAAATCCAACTAGCGCCTTCTCAGACAACTAGGACTAGCGCTTCCTCAAGATCCAGCCATACCACTCCTAGGCATATACCCAAAAGAGGCTCAAGTACACAAAAAGGACATTTGCTCAACCATGTTTGTAGCAGCTTTATTTGTAATAGCCAGTAGCTGGAAACAGCCCAGTTGCCCCTCAACTGAAGAATGGATGCAGAAACTGTGGTACATCTATACAATGGAGTATTACTCAGTAATGATAAATAAAGAAATCATAAAATTTGTAGGTAAATGGTGGGACCTGGAAAAGATCATCCTGAGTGAGCTGTAACAGAAGCAGAAAGAAACACATGGTGTATACTCACTCATATATACATGTAATATAGGATAAACCTACTAAAATCTGTACATCTAAAGAAAATAATGAAGAGGGTGGGCCCTGACTAAAATACTCAATCTCCATCCTTAAAAGAAAAGAGGATGGACATAAAAAGAAGAAGAAAATAGGAAACAAGTTAGGAACCTGCCACAGAGGGCCTCTGAAATGCCTCTGCCCTGCATGTATCAAAGCAGATGCTGAGACTTATGGCCAACTGTTGGGCAGAGTGCATGGAATCTTATGAAAGAAGAGGGAAATAGTAAGATCTGGAGAAGACAGGAACTCCACAAGGAGAGCAACAGAACCAGAAAATTTGAACACAGGAATCTTTCCAGAGATTCATACTCCAACCAAGTTACATGCATGGAGATAACCTAGAACCTCTGCACAGACATAGCATATGGCAGTTCAGTGTCCAAGTGGGTTACATAGTAATGGGAAGAGGGACTGCCTCTGACATAATCTGATTGGCCTGTTCTTTGATCACCTCTCCCTGAGGGGGGAGCAGTCTTACTAGGCCACAGAAGATGACAATGGAGCCACTCCTGATGAGATCTGATAGACTAAGATCAGAAGGAAGGAGAGGAGAAGGAAGAAGGAAGAGTCCTATCAGTGGACTTGGGAGGGGCTTGTGTGAAGAAGGGGAGGAGGGAATGTAGCATTAGGAGGGGTGGAGGGAGGGTTTTATGGGGGATACAAAGTGAATAAAGTGTAATTAATAAAAAAACAAAAAAATTAAAAATGTATATTAAAAACAAAAACAAAAACAAAATGAAAGAGGAGCCACAAACCTGGCTGCAACTCATCAGTTATGCCAACTTTGCTCTTCAGCTAATAAGAACGTCAGCTTTAAAAATGTGGCTTGTTGAAGGTTTTAGACACTGCTGGGTAGAGTCTTTCAGATGCCCTGTGTGGTAGGCTTCTGTCCTGTTACTTGCTTTCTCCTACTTCCCATGTCCATCCTATTTGTTTTTCTAAATGAGGATTGATTATCTTACTCTAGGACCTTTCTTGTTTAGCTTCTGTAGGTGCACATATTTCAGTATGTTTATCCATCTTAGAGGTTTTGAAACAGGAACTATTTCTGATATGAACTCAATGACTGGTTCCTTTACTCCCCCCCCCACCCCAGAAAGAGGAATAGTCATGCCACAGAGGAGGACTTTGGCAGACAGTCCTGAAGATACCTGATAAGCTAGGTTCAGATGGAAGGGAAGGAGGACCTCCCTTGACAGTGGAATTGGAAAGGGGCAGGTGTAGATGAGGAAGGGATGGTGGGATTGAGAGGGAATGAAGGAGGGGGCTACATCTGGGATACAAAGTAAATAACCTGTGATTAATATAAAAAATTAATGAACAATGTGACTTGTCACTGTGGCAATACCAGACATATAAGTTTTTTTTTTTCTATCAGCTATTGTGCAGGCAAATGCAAAAAAGCATCTCCTTAGTTTCTGTATTTTGTTTCTTTGCTTTTACTAGCACTTGACCCTTATTTTTGTTGTCTTAAGAAGTAGATCAAATTGTATATGCTGAATATTTAATTAAAGTTACGACTTCACATCACTTTAAGTGTGATTATTTTTATAAAGTATAATTTTTTTGTGACAGCAATGAGTGAATATAAACCATATTCAAGTTCATCTGACTAATTAAGAAATTACAAACTATGTTCTTATGTTCCAAAGTGGAATACAAATTACGAGTTGCTAATAATTGCCTTTATCCCCCATGTGATGCTGAATATCAAACTTGGGTTTGAGCCATAAAATAAAATAAAGAAAATTTAAATCTGCTGCATATATTTGACCACCAAGTGTGCTCAATAAAAGCATGAATGGCTCAGTAAAGATGAAGATATAATAAGAAACACCCAAGCCAAACAGAAGATGAAATGATGAAAAATGTAATGATAAGTCATACTGGATGTACAGAAAAAAAGATTCAATATGTGTAAATCTGACATATCAAAAACGCAAGAAAGAGAACACTATATTTGAAAAGATAATCACAAAAGTATTATTTACCAAATAAAATATAATAACTCACAAATTCAAGATGAAATATGTATCTAATCAGAATAAATATAAATGAACCATAAGTATATAATCAGAGAACACTGAAAGATTAAGAGATTAAAATAAACTGGGGATGACAAATTACTTCCAACAGCAGCTATTGTACCAATGACCACATCTTATAAGGTATTTTTAGCATTTGGTTATGATGGTAACTAAGAGCAAAAGTAGCAGCTGGTATTGTTTTGGGCTCTTCTTTGGTCTCTCTGACCTCATGCGGAGGAAAATGGTACCTGCCTTTGAGATTTACCTTCATTAAGCTATATCTTCTAGGAACAATGTGGTTCACTTCATGGAGTGCTGCTGTTCAAATTCACTTTCAAAAATGTTTTTTTATTTTTATTTCATGTACATGAGAGTTTTGCTTCGTGGTATATCTGTGGACCACATGGGTGGAGTTCTCATGGAGATCAGAAAAAGGCACCTGATCGGAATATAACGATAGGAATTATAAAGAGTTAGAAAAATGCTTCAGAAGTGCATCCAGTCCTTTGGCCTATCCATAGCTCCAGCTCCTCAAGTCATTAAAATATGTTTAAATTAGCTTTCAAACCAGCATGTTTCACATGGCTTCTTCATATATTTTTGGTTTTTATTAGCCCTTCTGTTACTCTTCTTTCATCTACCGTCTATCTCCACCCTCATTTAAAATGTTAGGTCCTAATATTTCTGTCCCTGTACCACATAAGCTTATCTATCTATATCTATCTATCTATCCATCCATCTATCTATCTATCTATCTATCTATCTATCTATCTATCTATCTATC